CTCCCAGGAGACTTAAGAATTGATTAAACTGTTTCAAAAAGCATGCAGTGGAATTTTCCCGCAGCAGTGAAATATAATCTGGTATATTTTATAATTGGATTGTTGATGTGTTGGTTTTTCTTTGCTAATGCAGACAAACGGACTTCTTCAGGAGAGCAGCCAGGCTGATCTCCAGCTGCCTACAGAAGCAGCAGACTACCAGGAAGACGGTGAAGACAACACCAAGAGAGCCTACAGGTTCGTTTCAAGGATCACGAGGAAATCCAAAAAGTTGATGATTCCAAATATCTGGGTGTTGTGTTAAATTTCCAACTCAAATTTGAAGCTTTGGGGAAATTTCTGAAACTGTAAAATCAACATTTAACTGTTTGTGTCTAATAAGATCATGTTTCTCTGCATATAGTAAATTATGTTTGCATGGTGTAATTTTGTCATAACTTGATGATCCCATAAAATTAGGCCTGACCATTCCATAAGCTTGAAAAGATACTTGAATAGGAATCAAAGCTGTGGAACCGGGCACGACATTGACTCGGTTTGCTTATTTTCTCTGACTGTAAAAAAAAAATAAATAAATCTCTGGATTTTACAATGTAGATTTAAATTTAGGAAAGTCTTATCACTGTTTAAATTTCTTTTTCACAGTGAATAAAATGAATAAAACATGAGAGAGACAGAAATCAGCGGATCTGATGTGTGAATAGCCTTGAATAGAAGAAACCTTCTAAAACAAAGAGCTATTGCCTCTGCAGTTTTCATTCTCACTTGTTCAATAGTTGCTCATTGTTCCAATAACTGGCTCTCTTCTTGCAAACATTTATTTCGGCTACAAAACAAACAAGAAACAAAGGCTTTGTTTTACCAGCCGGCTCCTCTGGAGACGGGAGATAATTCCTCCTGGCTGAATCCGTCTTAAAATTACATGCCCGAACACTCTGTTCTCATCCATTTTGCATTAAGACGACCTGAAATGATAAATAAATTTTCCTAAACCTGACCCTCGCCTGTCTTCAGATGCAGCTGGTGCTCCAAAGCTTTCAAAAAGTCGAGCCATCTGAAGCAACACATCCGATCCCACACAGGGGAGAAACCGTACGCATGTCACCTCTGCGGACGAGGTTTTGTTTCGGCTGGAGTGCTGAAGTCCCATCTCAACACACACACAGGTGAGCTTTCTTTTCAGAGGTGGGAAAACGTTCTGAATCGTTTCTGTATCGAACAGAGAGTTCTAAAATCCCTCAATGTTGTCCGGAACCGCATCAGAGGAAATCTGCTTTCTAATTTCGGTTTCAAATACTTAGAAAACTTCAGACACTCAGCTTTGCTCTCACCTCTGCCTTACAGGGATGAAGCCGTATAAGTGTGACGTTTGTGAAGCTTCTTTCACTACTAATGGAAGTCTGAGTCGGCATGCGTTTATCCACAGCAAGTCATTCAAATGCTCCATGTGTAACGAGTGCTTCCGCACCAGTCTGTTTTGTAAAAAGCATATGAAGAAGGAGCACGGTGTGGAGGAAAAAGGTAAGGACGTCGACACCATATCTGGATTTCTCAGCTCTTTATATGATTTTTGTTGTCACAATTTCTCACATGATGCTCCTTCTCAGTGATTTAGATTCATTTTCATGGGTTTTTTCACTTTTTTACATTTTGTTGTGTTACAGTGAAGAATATTATTATAGGATTTTATGTACTAGTGGAACATATGGACATAAGGCTAAAAATGTTATATCATTTATTAAATATAGATAACAGAGGGCTGGGACTTTAATGCATTCACGCGAATTCATTCCATAGATTTTTAATTGTTTAAAACTTTGCCGCAATTAATACATTTGCGGCCGGAACCTTTGTATTTGCACGTTTCTGGTACGCCTGTAAATTTTACTCACAAGTGACAACCGAGAACAACAGCGATGGACGCCAAAGCCGCTTCTCTTGACACACTAGATGAAAAAAGAACAAAAAAAAAAAAATGATCTAATGGCACAATAGTCTTCTAAAGTCTACTGCGTGAAAGTTGTGCTAAAAGGAGTTAAATTGTCACCAAAGCTAATGAAGCCTAAAATACCATCTCAGCACAGACAACCCGAACGCTAATGTCATCGTTGACAGTCCACACTTCTAAAGAAATACTTTTTCAAAGAGGTCACATGAATGATCAGGGGTTCCTGAAAAACCTGGATGCTGAATGAACCTGATGATTGAATAACCTGATCAAAACCAATGAATATCTTTGTTGCGGTTGGCATATGTTCAGTATGTTTGGCTAGGATATTCCTTTAGAAGTGGTGTAAGGTAAATCATCAGTAAACAGAGTTGTTCAGCAAATGTCAGGATAAATTATTGGAGTACTTTAGAAAAATAAACATCACCATGAGACCAATCAGCATGTAAGGCAGGTCAGCAATACATACAGCTCTGCTCCTGAGTTGACAGTCAGTCAGTTTTCGATGTTTTATAAAATCCAAAGACGTGTCAACAAGATTACAACAGTTGGTCTAGTAGCCCTTTATCAATTACAGATATTCTCAGGTGCTTTGGTGCATTTCTCGAATCAACCTCGACATTTGCAAAGCATCCCTCGAAACAATTCATGCAGACAGCAGAACAGCATGGATTACCTGCAAAAGCTAGTCTCTTTCTCAAAATCCTTACTTCATCTCTCAAAAGTAAATATTTGTCCATGAACATCTCAGTGCATCAGAATGATGAGCCTTTGTTTCACTGAATACAGATCGGGCAATGAAAATAATAAGTCATGCTGTCAATATAGCAGGGTACTCTGAAGGGATGTTCCGATATGATCTAAGGTTAAAGTTTTAATGACAAGTACTGTAAATTGTATTTGTGGGAGATTAATGGCAAGAGACTGGACAGAATTCACATTTTACTGTAATTTGTTGACATACCTCGTCAATGTGACACAGAAAGGAAAAGACAGCACTAAGAAAAACATAAGACAATCTCCTTATGGAAAACTGTTCATGCAGTCCTGTAAGAATTACAGTGCAGTTTTCCTATACTTCCCATTTTCATGCAGAGGGGAAAACAAGATCTTCAATAAAGTAAAGGATTGAGGAGCAGGATGAGAGGAACTCCATGAGAATCTTTTTGTGGGTCACAAACTTATGCTTAAATGTTGTGGAGGTCCAGACCATTCAATGAAGACCTGTAACACGCCACAAGCAATTGAAAATGTTGGACATTCAAAAGCAAAAGCAAATGCTTTTGAACATCAGAAACAAGAAACTGCGTTCTCAATGTGCGCAAGGGGACACAATCATTTGAAGATTGAACAAGTGGTTTTGAGAATTTCAAATCTGTTCTAAGAAATACTGAGAAAACCCGTAAGACTGCGTGGACTTTTCTGAGAAATGCACTGAGGGAATTATGCTCTCTGCGTGGCTCAGTGTGTGAGTCCACATCAGATGTTTAAGCTTCAGCTGTGCGAGGTGTCAGACAAATGACCAAGGCTGTCCTCCAGTGTAGGCAGCTGCACTGTGAGATAACACCCAACCTGACCACGTCACTCTGTCTTGACCTGTAGAAAAAAAGTACCGGTGTGCCTGAAACTGTGGTATTGATAAGAAAGATAAAATGATGCAATGAACACTTGATACTTGGAGCCATATTTGCAGCTACTTTTAACCCTTTTCATGCGGTTCTCAGCGGAGTCTGTTTCCCAGTCAACTTATTTAAGTTCAGCTCACGTGATTAAAGAGCTTCACATTGATGCTGCGCTCCATCCGTCTCTCATTTATTCTTTTTTTGTGTTGTTCTGCACCGAAAAGAAACAAAGGTAAAATCTTGAAGTAAAGGGTAGGCATGTTCAAACTTCAGGTTGCGCTGACAGTTCGCACGTCTGCCAGTTGTAGATCTCGAGCCTCAAGACGGGGATGACGACGACGATGACGACGACGACGGAGATCAAAAAACGTCCAAAAGGAGGAGTTTGGAGATCATCACTTTCACCGAGGAGCAGGCAGCCGAGCTGGCCAAGGACCCCGGAGAGGAGGCCTCCGTGTCGGAGCGGATCCTCGCCCAGTCGGCGGCCGAGAGGGATCGCATCAGCGAGATCAAGGACAAAGCGGTGGAGCTGGAAACCGAACCCAAGTTTGCCAACTGCTGCAGTTACTGCCCCAAGAGCTTCAAGAAGCCCAGCGACCTCGTCAGGTAAAGGTCACACCTCTGTTTCTGGTCATTTTCCTGTCAAGTCAGAAGGACGTAAGCTTTTCTGGTCTTTCCAATGCTGCAGTGTAAAACTTATAAACCCTCAATCAAATTTAAGATATAAATAGATTGAGAATTCCAGCAACCGCATCGATTGGGAGAAAGATGGATCCATCTCAGAGATGGACAGGTTTTGGTGTGAAATGTGAGTCTTGACCCCAAAACGGAAAGCAAAAGACCTTATCAAGATGCTAGCTGAAATTGCTAGCATCATTAGCCCCGTGGAAGCAAGCAGTGTTACTGATGCTAGCTAAAAGACTCCAATAGAAAGAAACTCTGCAAAAGCACAACATAGTTTGCACATGTACTCAGGAATAAATGCCACATCTTTTGGAGGCATTTCAAAAGATGTGGTACAACTAAAATGAAAACGTTTGGTCATAACAAGCAGTTATGTTCAAAGGAAAAACATTAAACCCAGCTGTCAGGTAAAGGATTGGCAGCTTCGTGATGCGTCGGTGTTTTGCTTCAGGAGGGACGGGTGCGCTTCAGGAAATAACGTCATATGGAAATATTGAAGCATCAGTCTGGAATTTAAGCTGGAACATCAGCTTGAGTTTTCCAAATGAGCAACAATCCGCTCCATACATCCAAATTAGTTACATGCAGGTTTAGGGAGAAGGTCAAAGTCCATCACAAAGTCTTGACCTCAATCTGGAATAAGCTGTGGACATGGCCAAAAAGAGGTTACAAGGTCTGCCAAGTCATTTTAAGAGAAATCACCTCTTTGAAATAAACCTCCTTTAAACCTGATCAACAGCTGTTTTGTTAAACTAGCATTTATTTATATGAATAAACAAACTAAATGGAATAAATTGTACCTCTACAACAAACTGTTGTTATCAGAGTTATTGTTACTGTTATTGTTTCGCAAAGATACCATCTAACGGTTATCTTTTACTTACTGTCACACCAGGGGGTTTTTTGTTCTGTTTATTTTTTTCAAAGATTTTTTAGCTCTCTTTGATCAGTGGAGCTACTCTACCAATTATAGTTTTATAAGATGTCTCTCAGCAATTTTAGAAGTGGGTAAATAATCTTTAGTGCCACATTTTCTCTTTATCGCAAAATGTTTTGGTGCTAAAATGAAAAACTTTAAGCTCCTCTTTCATGTTTTTTGGACAAATCCCAAATTCCTCTGTCAAGCCTTCAGGCCGTTTTCCTTTTGAAAATGCTACAGTGAGCCGTATTTCTCCCTATATTTTAATATGACCCAGAGACTTAGCAGTAACTTTTTTCTTGTTTTTCATACCTGCTCTTTTTTTTTTATCTCTTTTTTTGTGTTCACAAATGTGAAACGTATCTGTGTCAGCGAGTTATTCTGCATGTGACTTTTCACAATCTGCTTTCCTATTTAGACACATCAGGATCCACACAGGTGAAAGACCTTACAAGTGTGACGAATGTGGGAAGAGTTTTACGGTGAAATCAACCCTCGACTGCCATGTGAAAACACACACAGGTAAAACACCAGTGAGGTGTACGAAGCAGGGGAACAATGCATTAAAAACAATGAGACATAATTATGCAGCATTGTTACATTGAAGCTGATTCTAGCCAGTCCTGAATTATCTTTAAAAACCGCAAATAGTAACAGAATGTTTTTTACTATGCCACACATAAATTAAAAAAAAATAAAAAATGCAAGTGTGTTATTTAAATAACCAACAATTTCTTGGTGCATCTCTAAAAGTTTTTTTTACAGCTACAGAATAGCTTCACCAGTGATATTGTGAAAAATATATATTTTATTTTAAAAGAGTTGTTTTCAATGGAAGAAACGGCCCTGACTATCACAATGTGTTTTACTCACACTCTAATGTTAATCAATAGCTGAAGTTTGGCATTAATAGAAGGTGTATAACTTCATCCGTTGGGCAGTACTTGGTGTTTGGATTGAATTGGATTGGATTTAAAATTGAAATCAAAAGCAGAAATCCATCAAAGTGCTGAAGCTCTTGTCATCAGCAGACTCCCAAAACAAAGGTTGTTCTTGTAATTTTCAAGTTGTAAAATATTTTCAACTTTTACAAAAGGTGAGCAGCACAAAGGAGAAATGAAGTCTTTTCACAGACGTTTGATTTCAAAGAAGCAAACTTGATTTTGAGCAGCGATTTGACTTGCGTTATTTTTGCAGGTCAGAAACTGTTCAGCTGTCACATGTGCAACACCTCCTTCTCCACAAAGGGCAGCCTTAAGGTGCACATGCGCCTCCACACGGGCTCCAAGCCCTTCAAGTGTCCCTTCTGCGAACTGCGCTTCAGGACCTCGGGGCACCGCAAAACCCACATCCAGTGCCACTTCCGGCCCAACAGCGACAGCCGCAAATCCAAGCGCTCCTCCGCCGGCCACTCCAGACACAGCCAGGACTCAGGAACCGGGCAGACCGGGGCCTCCGGTCAGAGCCAGCAACCGGCGGCTTCTGAGCCGCTCCAGCCTGTGGGTCTGCTGCAGGCGCCCAGCTCTGACCCCAGCATCTACCTTCCGACCAGTCAGGTTCTGAGCGGGCAGTTCGACCAGAACCTGCTGCAGCCGGGCCTCGTAAGCCAGGCCATCCTGCCAGCCTCTATGTCAGGTGGGTGTTGTTGATGACAACTGAACAATGAAATGCATTTTGTTGAAGGAAAATGGTTTGCAGAGCAGATATAAAGCACTTAATGTGGAATTTGTTACAAAGAATTGATTTTATCCACTTGAGCGTAGCATCTCAGCTCAGGGCGACATGTTGCATTATCCTGAAGAGTCACTTTGACATCACTACTCTGTGATATACAGCTCATAATTAATGCTCTAAAGGCAGCGTGTGAACACACAAATCTTACCAAGTATGATTTCTAGTACACTTGAAAAACGACAAAACTAATTTGCAAGTCACTTTTCAGCAAAATATAGAGGTTTGTTTTTAAGTCAATTATTCCTTAATATTGATTTTAAAAAAATTAGTTCCACTGGCAGATTTATTCACATCTTTGCCATATTATAAATGAACAAAATCTTTCAGTGGAACTAGTCCTTTTAAAATTGATGTTGAGGAATTATTAACTTAAAACAAAGCTTCTATATCTTGATAAAAACTTGGAAGTTAGTTTTGTCTTAAATTAGCGCCATACTTAAAAAATAATAGTTCCACTAGCAGATTTTATTTCACTTATAACAAAACAATTCTGCCAGTGCAACAATGTTTGTTTTAGTCAATATTAAGGAATTATCGACTCAAACAAACTCCTAAACATTGACAAAAAGTTACTTGTAAGTCATTTTTGTCTTATTTGAATTGTAATAAGTTATTTGCACTAGAAACTGGACCAAAACTACTTGGTAAGGTTTTGTGTTTTTGCAGTGTAGGTGAAATCCTGAAAAAGGCCATCACCATCATCATCTCTGTGTTGGTGGGACGTTTTATGGGAGCATCTGTGCTGTTACTCAGACCATATGATTCATGTCACGGCTTAACAAGTCAAACCCAGGAGGACGAAGCTGTTTTACCACCAAGCGCCACTTTCTTTGCTTTATCTCTTCAATTCACAGCACAGCTTTTGAATCTTTCCAGCCTAAATCTAATCAGAGAGCCTTCAAAGATCCCTTGTCATGTCTGTCCTCAGCTTAGATGCATTTCTGATCAAGCGAAAGCTCTTTGGATTGATAGAAAAGCTTGAAGTCTGACATAACAGGCTTTCACAGTCTCAAGGAGGAACACTGTAAACCATTACAGCCTTGTAAAGTTCTGCCTGCGTACGTGTTTCAGCTGCGGGAGACCTCACCGTTTCCCTCCCGGACGGCCTGACCACGCTGGACGGCATCCACCTCCAGCTGACCCCGGCCAGCCTGGTGTGCCCCAACGTGCAGATTTCTGGCATCGACACGAGCAACATCACACTCCAGGTGACTCATCTCCCCGTGAAACCGCATGTGCTGTCCCACAGACCTGCAGCGGGCAAACAAATGTTGCTCAGCAGCAATTTATTTTGTAGCTTCTGTGTAAAAATAGGTTTTGTTTTGAAAAGTCTGCTGTGATTTTCATTATTTATGTTGGGGGTTTTTTTTGTGACAAGCACATCATAAGAGTTTTGTTTAGTCAGTTTAAGAAAGTGATTAAAGTTTCCTTTTATTTACAGAATAAATACAGAATACACATCAGGAATGGGATCCATTCAGATTTATACACTGCAGGAAATTAGTATTTTTACATTGATTCGCCTCAATGATAGTTGGGGAAATAAAAACCTCATGTACTAAATAGAAAGGATTTTTGAGACTGTGGATCATGGGGTTAGAGGTCACGACCGTCCTAAAATCCAATGACAGCATTTGTAGCAAAAAATACTTCTAACATCAACGTGTGAAAAGCTCAGCTGTTTCTGCTTAACTTGACATCAGTACAGCTTTGGGCTAATCTGTTGATTCTGTTTTGGATAAAACGATTAATATTTGCATGGCAAAAGGTGCTTAATAGGAGATTTTTATTTATTTGCAGAATTTGAACAGGTTGAAGCTAAACCTGCCACTTGAGTTCTGAGTAGAACATATTTATAGACACAGGTTTTTTTTTTTTTATTTTAAATGCAAAATATATATATTTTTTGTAGTTTTGGCTTAATTAATGGTTTATTGATTTTTTTGGGGGGCTTCCTTTGAGTCTGTACACTCCAATCGATTGCTACACCAGTTGACGATTATTTCAACAATCTCGATTAATCTGATTCATCGTTTCAGCTCGAAAAATATATTTAAAAAAATGTCCTGTTTTGTGTGTGGTAGTTTAATGTATTGCATAAAACTTAATTTTTTTTTTTACATTTAGTTAGCAAATTACATAATTTTTTTATATATATTATTTAATGTACCAGTTCTACATAATGTGTAGAAGAATGTAAAGCATCCCTCTTTCCATTCTCACATTATCGTCTGTAGAGCCTGTGAGGACAGTGTCACTCAGAACGAGTTCAGGTTCGGCATCTCGCTGTCTGACTCTGATTATATCGGGGGGATTTGATCCCACCTTCAGCGATTCTGTGGATGTCGTAAAAGCAGCGAAACTGAGAATATCAAGGATGGTGTTCACATTGCTGCCTCCCACGCAGGCGGCAAATGAGATTTTGTGCGAGAGACGTTGGTGCTAAATGTTTTACTCTTGAGGTTACGAGACATTTAGACACGAGCAAAGTTTTCATAATATGCCTCTAAATGCCACAATATGCCTACATGTGGGGGACGTAAGACAATAAGGCAGACAAATAAAAGAGAGCAGACAGGAGGGACGTGTTTGTGAATTAATACGAGACTCGAGCAAACACGTCGGAAAAGTTAACTTTTTAGCTGCGTTCACCGGTTTAAAAGTGGAAACTTTGTCTCAAGACGGAAATAGGGACTCATCGATTCACTTTATTCACTTCTGATACAAATACAGATATCTGAGGTTTCGGCTGATACCGATCCGATACCGAAAAACAGAACCGGATTCACCTAAAAAGTTTCCTTTTTTTTTAAACACATAAAGTTTCAAATGTATTTGCTAAAGCTGCACCAGTAGAGCTGCACACTTAAATGCACCAACAACTTCACAAGTTTTGGTCAAACATGTAAAAACGGCTTTAAACTGTTCAGTCAGTGCAACAAGGAGGATAACAGCCAATGTAGAATAAATAAAGAATCTGAAACGGACAAAAACAGCAGGTTGACTACCTTGGTCAAATATGTAAAGAAAACCTTGAACAAACGATTCAGAAAGGAATCCTGGATATAATGTAAAATAAGTAATAGAGCATGACATCGCTCAGAGCACAAAGCATAGAATTAGACTGAATAGATCTTCCTTTATGGATCGGGCACATTGTCACCAAAACCTGAGCTATCATTTTTTTTCTTTTTCAATATCGGGACAGATACAGATATTAATATATCGGGCCGATGGATCTCTACCTGGAAACAGACTCAAGATTGAAATCAAGAAAACTTTCTTTATTTTGTTTTATGTTGTAATTCCAGCGAACGATCGTCTAATGCTTTGGTTTTTGAGACTGGGTTGTTTTGAGGCGGTGGTCATTCACCACCGTCTCATGCGACGGCGCCTTTCTGTTTCTCTAAAATAAAACCTGTTCAGAAAGCAGGTAAAATACTGATTTCTGTAAACAGTTTAAAACATCTAAACCTACTACTGGATGTGTTCACAAGTAGGAAAGAAGATTTGCTTCACAGTGAAGATGTGAACCAGAAGCTTTACCCAAACAGATACTTAAAGCGTAAATACTTAATAAAAACAACTTCATACATACTCATGTTTTTTTTTTTTTTTTTTTTTTAAGTTGTTGGCTTAGTCGTTTCAAATCACTTAAAACTTTCTTGGAGTTGTGACCTTTCAGGATGCTCTCTCATGTTTTCGCTCGCCATTTCCTGTTATCGTAACCGACGTTGCGCAGCTTTTTATAGCTGCTTACAAATAATAGAAATTCTACATTGCAATATGTTTGCTTCTTTCTAAAGGGTGTTTTTTTTTTAAAATATATTATTCTCAATCCTCTCAAAAATCATTTAGCCTGTTAAGAGTCCTAATGTAGCTTGGTGCGTCACAACCCCTTCCTGTACTTTATCTCCATTCAAAGGAGACAAAAAGCGCTGCGGTTTGTGGCCACGTCATTGACGTAATTTTTGTTGATTCTTCACTTAGAATTCAAATGCTAAAAAAGACCATTAGGGATGACTCATTTCGAGCTCGAAATACACATTTTTAAAGCCGTGCACAAGAGGAGCAAGGTTATGCGTCTGTCTGTCTCCGGCTGTTGTTGAAATCTAAAAAAATAAAAAAAATAATAAAAAAGGGAGAAAACCTGAAAAAAGAAACTTGTGTTCACGTTTTATTTACACACCCTGCAGCTGCATCGAACACTGCAGGTTACTGTTAATAGAACATTCTATTTCCGATGTGTGATTTGTTTCTGGGTATAAAACCCCCAACACTTAAGCTACATGTCACTTGTAGCTGTTATTCTTTGAAGACTCGCAGCTGTGAGTCTTCAAAGAATATATTCAGTGGCTTTGAAGGGCAAAGCGCTTGGCTTTGATGGAAAAAGGCCTTGAGATTTAATTTTTTAGCTGTCTCAGATATTTGCTGATTTAGTAAAATCATTAAAGTTTTTGTTTTTTTCTTTAAACCGTCCCTGAATTGTAGCTTCTACAGAACAGGGGATGAAGACAAAGACTGTGTGTGATGACATGTTGCTATGGCGCAACAGCGGGTCCGAGCATCAACTATCTGGATGGTTAAAGTTCATGCATATTTTCTGCTGTATGGACCAAATCTGGATTAAAATGTGGCAATTCTATAATATTATCTTAATTTTGTCAAAGTTCAGAAGGTGATCAAAGTCAAAAAATGAGGTAGCAAAACGCCTATTACAAACTTCAATGTATTTTTACTCACATTTTTTGTAATGAGCGGGAAAGTTAATATAGATAAATTCTGATTAACTCTATCAATGACTGTTAAAACTTGTATATGTTGTTTTCCAGATGCTTAAAGGTGCTAAAGAATAACCCCAGAAACAAAACCATAAAATTGCTTAATTTTTACAGAAATTAATCTTTTAGTGCTGAGAGCAACAGAAACAGGAACATTTCAAATCAAACTTTATGGGAAATTGTGAAATCGAAGTAGAATTTGAAAGAATGCGAAGGCTGCAGCAGCTGTTGCCCCCGGTAACGTGAGGTGCTGGTTTCCCACGCAGATCGACCCCGCCCTCCTCCAGCAGACCTTACAGCAGGGCCTGCTCTCTCAACCCCTGAGCGTCGACACCAGCCTGGTCTCTCACTCCGCCAACCAGCTCATGTCGACCTCCGACCCCTCGGTGTCTGCCAACGTCGTCATCCACCCTCTGACCAGCCTGTCCATGCAGCCGCCCACCATCTCCTCCCCCCAGGTCTCTATGGCCGGACTGCCTGAGCAGGACGTCACGGGTAAAAACCAGTAAAAAAAACAACTAAAAAATCTAATGGTATGTCGTTTTCTTTTTTGAGCTGAGTGACAATCTGTGCTTCGCGTAGGCCCCCAGGACTTGAACCACGTCATGAGCAACGCTGGGCTCGTGGCGGGAAGCAACAGCAGCCAGGAGATCACTCTGACCATCAACAACTCCAGCCTCACGCAGGCTCTCGCTCAGGTCCAGGCTCAGGCCTCAGCGGCCGGTTCCAGCGCCGCACCGGGAAACCCTCAGGAGATCACGCTCACCATATCAGGTATGAGCCGTTAGCCGCGGGGCCGCTGGAGTTCTCACAAGCTGGTTCTGCTGCAGACAAAAATAATAAGCAAGCCTTGACTAAAAGAAAAAAAAAATCCCATAAGGAGTTTTTTTTTTTTTTTTCTTCATTTCCTTTCTCAGCCAAAACACACTGGTGGGAAATGAGAGGATAAACCTCAGTCTTGTCTTTTCAATGGTCTTTGCTTCCCAGAATTGAATAAAAAGCAACACAAATGGAGTTTTGAGCTGTTTTTTTTCGCTCCTTCTCTAGTCATCTTTGATGTTCTTCACTGGCTTTCTCTTACCTGGAGGTATAAATCTTCTGTCAATGAAGTGAAAACATCTGTCTCCTGTCTCTACTCCCTCTTTGTGAAGATAGAATCTCCTTGAATGAGATGAATCATATCCTGTGGGCACTATTGAGCATCTCTTATTCAGCCGTCTGATTTGTTTTTGAGTGATTCCTTTTTGCTGAGCGTTTCCTTTAATTTTCTCTAAAGAAGAGTTTAGAGAAAATTCTGTTTTCTGATTAGTCTGAACTATTGCTAAGAATAATGACTAAATACAAAACATCTTCCATTTTCTCATTTTTTTTGCACAGTGCATGTCTTTCCTGTGTTCAAATCATTTGAAATAGGCTTGTTTAAGACGTCACTCAAACAAAGTGTCGCCCCACCGTCTGCAATAAATATATTTACATGAAATGCTTTTTAAATTGGACCTGGGCTTGCATGCAGAACAAACACCAAAAACTGTCTTTATTCCGAATTATAAAGCAGTAATTTGTAATGGCTGTATTTTCCCAAATGCCTTGGCAGGTCAAGATCTGCTCCCCCAGCATGGCAGCTCCAACGGCGCAGAGCTAAACGGCAGCATCAGGCTGGCCTCGCCACTCAGCAGCCAACCCACCAGCGCAACGATGACCATCACCAACGACCACCTTCTACCTCAGAGCCCAGCCAACACCGGGATGGCAGGTAAGATCTTTTTAATAATAATAATAAAGACTTTAGAGTACATTTCAAACTTTGTGCGAGGATATTCTTTGAGCAGTGCCACCTTATGAGAGATTCGATTCCCTCCAGATATGTTTTGAACAATCAGCATATACAATTCAGAGGAAAATATGAGTTACAGCAGCACTTAGTTTCTCTCTGGGAACCGTAAAGAGTTTTTGAATTTGAATTAAACTGAATAAACTCGACGTTCAGGTATTGGAATGTGTGCAACTGAGTTCTATATTTGCATGTATAAATGTGATATTTTTCTGTAAAGGGCCTCAACACAACTTTTTATTTATTCTTTTATTATTTCAAGCTGAATTGACGGCTTTAATTAAATTTGAAAAGAAAATATAAAGTGGTGGCACTTGAAGTTTTACAGACGTGAGTGTGAAGAGAGGAAGGAAAGGTTTTAGGGCTTTGCTGTACGGGAAATTGATTGAGATTGCCGCCTTACATTTGCCTGATTTGCTTGTCACCTAAAGATGTAATCAAATTTCTATGCTAATATCTCCCTTTATCAATTACCTTCCTCTCTCAGCTCAAGTGGGGGAAAAAAATAAAAATAAAAATCTTCCCCCAGACACTCAGAGTATCTCGTCTTTTGTTGATTAGACGGAAGCCGTGTTATCGCTCTGCATGCAAATACGGTTCTGGCAGCTCAGTGACCGGGAAGCGGTTCTGTGCCAGGCTTATTTATTCAGTTCAAATCACAGTGGAAAAACGACAGGGGCTCCTCTGTGACCAGAGCAATTTAGCACCTTTTGGCGAGAGACAAAAGCAGCAGAAGAGCCTGAATTATTGACAGGCTGGGGACATAAGAGCAAAATTTGCAGACATTTTCTGTCATTACAAAAAAAAAAAAAAAACAATAACAACAACAACAACAACAAAAAACATGTTACCACACAACATGTCAATCGCTCGGCCCACATTGTTGTTCACATTTTGGAAATTTTACAGTTTAACATGGAGGATTATGTTTGAAACAGTGAAATTATCTCTCTCTTTTTTAGAACCCTTCTGGTTGCATAAGCTGTTATCTATAATAGCCAAGTCAAGCAAAAGGAAGATTGGATGTTGTAAATTCAGAGCCTTATGAAGTCATTCAGCCCCTTTGAACAGCACTTTGAATTGCCTTGCTGCTGAAAATGTCCTATATAAATAAAATTACCTTACCTTACCTTTGACGGTGTTCACATTGCAACCACACACATTCACTGTGTCCCATTTGAATTTATGCGACAGAACAACATGAATTAGTACAAACCTGTAATGTAGAAGGAAAAGGTTAACTTACCAATTCAAGTCTAATAAATGCAGCGTAGCCCCTTTACTTTTGCCAGCTAGAAATGGTAAGAGTGGACGATGTGGCTAGCTGCCAACATAAAATGCTAGCTAGCAGTTCACATCCTTAAGGGTATGTTCAAACGACTTTTGTCTTTGACATTAGCTCACTTCTGTTACCATTCCATACGAAGCTGCTTTCATTCAACACCAGAGAGCTTTGACACTATGTTAAGACAGTAGAGAACCACACTGAGTGTGCTGCCAAGAGCTACAAACAGACCCCAGAAATGTCACATAGTTTAGATCCCACGCCGTAAAAAGGTTTAAAAAAAATAATCCTTACAGCTGCATTCAGTCTGACGGAGCTTAAGGTGTTTTACAAGAACTGTCAAAAAAAAAAAAAAGTCAGTCTCTAAATTTACAGAATTGGTCATCGTGCCTGAAACCACTTTGCTGTTGTTATTACAGTTCAACATTTGTCATCCGAACTCTGTTTTTACATGCGATGGTAATTGAGTCGCTCATTTTCCCCTCTGTGCCGTTCCTTCCAGTAACCAGTTTGGCTCCCAGCACCACTCTGTCCCACACTGCTGCGTCCAAGAGCTTAGTGATGTCACCAGGGGGTGTGGCCAGCGACGGCAGCGTCACCCTGACCCTCACGGACGCTCAGGGCATGCTGGACGGTGTCACTCTAAACCTCAGTGCACAGGTAAAGAGACCATGAACCGTACCTGTGTGTATTTGTAGAGATGCTCTCTTCCAGGGTTTCTGGGTTCTGATTCAATCCAAATATCTGAATTTAAACATCTGCAGATGTCTGTATTTTCCAATCTAAAAGGATTTTTCTTGAAAGTTTAGTGTTGGTTTTGTTCTCGGTTTATGACGTAATCAGAATAAGACAAACACTTTGTTATTCTGCTGTAATTTGTGTCTACATCTTCTCCTGCATCTCCATTTACAAATTGATAACATGATTTGCATCAGAATGATTCTTTGGTGCATACACTTAAATGCTTGCTTGCATTAGAGCTGCTGAATCTGAACTTGACCTCATGAATATAACGCCCGTTCTCTGATTAGCCTGAGCGAGTGTCTCACTATGCATGATCTTCTCAGAAGATGTGATTAACTCAGAAAGGGCATGGATTTCTTCAACTCCCTTAGCTGATGGCAGAACAAGCAGCCAGGTTGTTTTGAAGGATCTAATCTTAAGGTCAGCTTCCTTCAAAAGTTCAAAAGGAGAACAAGGTAGAACTTCTCAAACAGTAGCAAGGTCCCACACAAAGACTTTGTTTCATGAATTTCATTTTGAACCATTTCATTTTCAAACTCCTTCCTCTTTTTGCCCAGACAGGAGAGGATGTTGCTGTGATTTCTTCTGATAAAGGTGGCATCTGCCTTGAGCCATGAGACTCTGTCCCTTAACAATCCAGCAGAGAACTTTTCAGTCTCTCTTGCCTTTGGTAGCTTCTTCCTGTCAAACTGAGACTTTATAACCTCCAGCCGGTGAAGGAAATGCTCAACCTTGTTAGGGGCTTTTATTAGTGCTTAGCGCTGTTAGTGGAGCTGCCATTGCCAGTCGTCAGTAGGTAGGGTCTGCCTCATTGGCTGAAGTATGATACCCGATCCAGAAATTACATCACTATCAGGTCCGATTGTGATTTTTGGATTGAATTGATCCTGTATCTAATTGTTAGTGATTTTAAAATCTAAGCAAGATTCAACCATTTCTGTGAAGACATGTTTTGTTTTTGTTTTTTTTAATCAGATGCTTTACAAGACTATCTTTTCCACATTTAGGGTCAGACGTTTCCTGCGGTGCTAAATGAGACTGGTATACCGGGGCAGCCGGCCAGTTCAAGCCAGCAGGTCTTACTGGTCAGCCACCATTCCCAGTCCACGAATGGGGCATCTGACAATGGATATTTTGTAAGTATTGTTGTCCTGCGCACAATATGAGGGAATACCTAAATGCATTCAGTTTCATTAAATTGGATAACACTTGATTGAATTTAAGGAATTTAGCTCCAAACTGTAGAAAATCACAACATGAGTGTCATCAACATCAACAAAACCTTCGGCGACGATCAGATGAGAGCGGATCGTTTTGGAGAATTTCCCAAAGCAGGGATGAAATGTAAACTCTTAACACACTCTGTTATGAATGCAGAATCCTGCTGACGGGGGGAAAGGTGGGAAAGACTCCCAGTTGGACATGGAAAGCAGGAACCAGTGTTATTACTGCAACCAGCTGTGCGAGAACGCCAACGCGCTGCGGCGGCACTGCAAACAGGCTCACGGCAAGGACCGCTGCCACGTCTGCGGCGTCTGCAAAAAGGCTTTCAAGCGAGCTACGCACCTCAAGGTCAGAACTGTGACACACAACCGGCTGTTTACAGTCAAGTGCGTCTTTCATTGAACGGCGACGATAACGCCAAGACGCGGAAGGGAGTGTCGAAGAATTGTTCCGGCTCTGAAGATGACGAAACGTTGAGCGCCAGTGGCATTTTATTTCCTCTGCGGTGTGAAGCGCTGAAGGACATGTGAGGGTGGAAGGAGGAAGACGCAGCTTAAAGTTCAAGCCCTTTCCCTCCCACGTGTCACTTCTGCTGCGCAAAGGCCACAGAGCAACAGGTTGTTTTTTTTTGTTGTTGTTTTTGTTTTTGCCTTTTGTAAATGCGCCCCAACAATTGGAGCTGCACTGATTTCTCACTATAACTAATGAAGCTGGGATTAGTTGAATGTCAGTCAGTGACTAAGCCCTTTTCCTCCTCTGCTCCCCTGGTTCCTCATTAGCCTCCATCTAAAACTTGGGTGTATACTTTAGATGGTGGGAAGGATAAAACGGCGCTGCTGTTGTTTGTCATGTTGCGGTACCATGGGAAATCTATTCCTGTTTGATTTAGGGAAAATTGAAAACATGAAAGGGATGTTTATTTTATTTTATTTTATTGTTTTTTTTTTTACCTTGGTCGTTTTCTGTGCTGCAGGCGGCGGAAGATGGATTTTAGGAATATCAGGGGCCTGAAAAATGAGTCGCGCGTATTAAACCATTTCTCTGTGATAGATCATATCAGGCACTCAAATATCCCAAAGGCACAGATTCCAAGATATTGAATTTCTTTGGATGTAGAGTAAGGTTTTTTGGAAATGGCTTCATTTTTCGAAGATCTTTTCTGCAAGATTGATGACGCTTCTGTCCCAGTGTGACAATTTTTTACAGTCCTCATATAGCAGCAGTAACAGCTAGCTCAATTTCACATTATGTTAGCTCAACTTCATGATATTTTGCTGCAGGGAGTCGTTCTATTCTTCCTAATTTTAAATTCTGGATGCGGTCTCTGACAAATCTTTCTCTTTTTGGGGCGAGGAATGAATAAAGTTCAGTCCCAAAAAACTATTTTTCTTCATTTTGTTCCAAGCGCCACTTTTTATCTCTATTTCTAGCTGAAAGACATAAACCAGTCACAATAAGCAATTACAATTTCAGTGTACAATTTCTGTTATCATGATTAATAGTTTTTGCTTAAAGATGCATCAGAATCCATTTTATTTATGGTTTGGGTTCTAAGTGGTTTTTATTTACATTTTATTTTTCATTTTATTTATTTTTGGAACTTTAAAGTACCTCCGAGTTCCAGGGCTATGTGTTGTTCACAAAATTAGAGTTCATTCATTATAATGTTTGAGTTCTTGCATTATAATGCCTCTATCAATATACTACTTGAAAATGATCTTAAAACAATTAAACCCAATAATTACTGGGACAGTTTAGATTTGCTATCATGACGCGCCTATGGAGACGCTTTAATTTTGACAGTTTGTTGCAGGTACATGTATTATATATTCATAATTTGGTCTGCAGGAGCATGAGCGGGTGCACCAGCCGGGCCCTTCACCCAGCTCCCAGAAGCCCAGGGTCTTCAACTGTACGTCTTGTGCGAAGGCGTTTGCAAAGCGCAGCCAGCTGGAGAGACACAACCGAACACACACAGGTGGGAGGAAGCTGAAGGTTATTTTCATTATGTAGGTCTATAAAATTCACTGTAATGCCAAATGTATTTAAGCAGGGACCAGTGTACAAATTAAGTAAGGAGTGTAAAAAATCTGGACTGGTCTTCAGAGTTCAGCCTGATGGAACACCTTATGAGGCGTTTGTGGTCCAACATCAGTGTCTGACCTTATAAATGCACTTCTAGAAAAATGCTCATAAAGCTCCTGTATCTTTCCAGAAGGCTTTTATGAGTACAACATCATATTCACCTACATTTATTAAGAATGTGTGTGATAAAAAGACATTCATTGTTGTTTTTGGGGGGTGGAGGCGGAGTCAAAAGAAATCCAGTCCAGAAAACTATTCAGGCTTAAAAGATTGAAGTTTATAAACTTGAGCTTTTCTGCCAAACAGAACGGCCAATTAAAGTTTGGTTCAACTTCATAAAATGGGGGGAAAATTACTTATTTGAAATAATTAAAATCAATTGTTTAGTGTGAGAGATGTAGCCAAGGAAACAATCCGGCTATGGTTTCATTTTTAGTCGCTCTGCTTGCAGTGTATTTATTGTGGCTCTCAATAAATATTTCAAACTTTCAGTGCTGCCTTGTTGTTTAGGCAGCAAGTTAATTAGAGTGTGATTTATTTCAAATTAAAGATTAAGTGTCTGTAATAACAATTTGCTGCAGCAGCAGCTTTTGAAGTGACATTACTGTCCTGCTTATCAAAAGCTAAACAATTTATTAGCTAAATAGCCTATTTAATGAGCATTTCCACCTTTTCAATGGGGCTTATTGAATTCGAGGTAAGGACACAGTAAATGCTTTAATGAATCCAGGATTTAATAACAGGCATTTTAAAGTGATTACTTTTTTTTTTTTCCGTTAAAAATTTTAATGAAACTCCCAATTCCCGTGTTTTTCATAGCAAAAATCTTAATTACGTTTTGGTCTCTAACAAAATCCCAAACACCCCGGTTCAGTCTGCGCGTATTCTCACCAGGCAGATCCTGAGGCGCCGTTTTGTTCAGTTTCAATCATGCTCAACATAAATCATTTCTAGCCACTCCGAACCTGATGGAAGAGACTGAGAGGGCAACATGTAATTACAAATCAGAAGCAGACCTTCACCTTGTTGTCTGAGGGTGCTTGAAAAGAGAGTGCGACTCAGGTGATCCTGGCTAATCATCTCATTTGTTCTGTAGCTAATTTGTATATAAAAAAATTGCTCTGAGCCATTTTGACACATGTAATAGAATACAAAAGTGCTTTAATTTGTGGGTGGATGATGACTGGGAGTTCAGACACTTATTAGTAGTGAAGTAAATATATTTAATAGTAACTGATAATAATGTTGCCATCATCTTTTTCTTTTGTACATGATTGAAAACTTGCCAGCTGCCTTTTAAATTAATATCACAGGTGAATTATTCAAGCTCATGTGAAATAAGACAGTTTGTGTCGTTACTTTCTAAGGCAGAGCAGCTAACTGGTTGAATTAGGAGCTGCTGGATAAACTGGAAAAGTGCAGTGTTGGTCAGTGCTAACTAAAAACTTCACGCTAATCCTAAAGCACTAGTTGTAAAGATTGTATCCGCTAACACTAAAGCGCTACACCAACACGGTTTCTGGCGCAAACTAACGCTAAAGAGCTAACTTGAATTCAGATTATATCTGCACTTGAGCACCAAATTAATTTTGACATAATTTACATGTCCTAGAATGGCCTTACATATTGTATTTACATCTTGTTCTCTACTGTCTGTGTTTTATTTTGGTACTGTAGTTTCTTGTTTGAAACAAGGTAAAAAAAACAACCAACCAAGTAAATTGGCACTTTAGAAATTATCCTGAAAAATAATTGAAGAGAAGCTAAGTTTGATAAATGTTTTCAAAGTTAGCAAAAGCGCTAAGCAAATTAGCTATTAGTGGATTAGCAGAGCTAATGTTTTGAGGAGAAGCTAGATTAGCCACCACTGAAAAAGTGAAATAAAATTTCACATATTTCCAAACTGTCAGTAATCGTTGACACTTAAGTTGTGACTGTGTGTAAATAATCTTGCCTTTCAATTTCAGTTTGCTAAACTAAAACCCCTTTCCCCCCCCCCAGTTACAAAAATTTATGCCAGACTGAAACATCATATTTTCATAAAAATACATAGAAGGAATTGGCTGGTGATGGGGGAAAAAACAACCAACCAAACAAAAAACGTTGAAACATTGCATATCAACATTATTTCGATGTTTAAGGATCTTAAATGTGGAGCGGCGTGGCAGTCGTTATAAGAGAGACATCTGTGGGGAAGGAACTGCTGTCTCATTAAGACTTAATGCTGGAGGCAAACATCTCAGTGACTTATTGCTGACTTAATTATCCACTGAGGTGGAGATCAGATTTACAAGTAAAGCACTTCTCAACAGCCTGCCACTTTTCAAAGTTCAGAAACAAGTTTTGCAATTCGAACATTATGAGAAGTTGGAATGAAAAGCGCTGACTGGCATCTCAAACCGTACAGTGAAATCGTTTCTTACACTGCGTCACATATTCAATATTTTCACGGCCGGCGATTTAAACGCAGCGTCTTAATTGGACCAACTTGCAAGTCCCCGTTAAAAACATGTTTGACGATGACGATGCGTATTGATCTGGTGTCTGCGTGTCCGTTTGCAGGCGAGCGGCCCTTTAAGTGCAGCCAGTGCGACAAGGCCTTTAACCAGAAGAGCGCTCTGCAGGTCCACATGGTCAAACACACGGGAAAGAAGCCCTTTAAGTGCGAGGTGTGCAGCATCAGCTTCACGCAGAAGAGCAACATGAAACACCACATGAAGAGATCCCACGGATACGGTGAGCAGCCCAACGAGCGACAGTGATGGAAAACGCAAATACTGTCCTTTTGTTTCCTCTTTGTCTACCTGGTGTTTTTCTGTATCTGTTTGTTTGTCCTGTGGCCATACAGTTCTCTAATATTCATCCCTGTTTACGCTGGAAACCAGACGGGTCCTTTGAGCCCTTTTAGATGACAGAGTGGGGGGAAAAAAAAGCGAACTCTGCGAACCACCGCCTCCTCTTAGAAGTGATTTCAATGGCGCTATCAAGAGGCTTCTATAAATCACAGAGCCGGGATGTTCTGCTGACAGACAGGTTCACCCACTGCTCCTCTTCTGCCAAGACATGATTTTTTTTTTTTTTTTTTTTTTTTTACCTTCTCCTGACAGCGTAACAATTAAGATTAAGGCTGCAGGTGACCTTTTGTTAACCCACATACGCATGATTATTGATCTCATTTGAGCATTCGGCCTGGGCGACTAGCAGGCGCTTATTGAAGATGTCTGGTGGCGCAGAGTGGAGCGGACAGATATACGTTCTGTTTCTAAAGTACCTTGACAAAGTGCTTTGCTCAGGGGCGCCGGGCGGAGTACGGTGTGGACGATTCAAAATGTCAAGCTAGAGCTGCAGTTGTTTGAAGTGACAGATAATAAGGGGCCAGACTCCTCAAGGACTAGAAGATGCTGTTTTCAATTTTCCCAGGTTTTTTCCATGGGTGTGGATGTCACTCACACAGAGGACTTGCAGGGGGGTAAATAACGTTGCCTTGAGGAAAGCTCTAGTCCCACTAACTCATTAAACCTTTAATGCATGAATTATTGTCTTCCTCCGTGTTTTTACTCGTTTTTTTAGGCATGGAGGGAAAGTAGGAGCGTTTCACAGGGTCATGCAGGACGGCACGCACTTACCACTCGAAATGTTGGTGATAAACAATTTAGTAATATCAAAGTTGGGTAAAAACCATATAAAAATGTGTAATGACACCACATGCTTGAGCATTTTCTGAAAATGTTGTTTTAAAGATTTAGAGACAAGACGTTTCATAAAAACATGCCACATTTCGTTGGAGGAAATAGTTGTTTAACTTCAAAGCAAATGTAGTACGGTGTATCCAGAAGGTTTGTTAAATAATCAGCCATTAAGACAATGAGTCGTATATCGACCCATCGAAATTAAACTGTCAGACTCAAAGCAGGCAGAGATCAGAAGTAAAGCAGCCAGAAGCCATTATTGGACTGTTTTGGTTGATTAATAATTCACGGAGACCTAAATCTTTTAGTTGCTGTTTGGCTACAGAAAGTTAGCATAATCCGTACAACATGCTAGCTCTCCGTGAGCCCGTCTGCTACGCAGCAGCCGACATTTTTTCCAACAGACCCCGTCAAACTTTTCATCCTCCTTCTGAAGCAGTGCTGTCATCCAAAATGAAACTTTCGCGAAAACCTTTTTGAGGCTGACAGTGAGCTAACAGCTCATATTTGTCACTTCATGTAAAAGGTCACGTTGCTGTCGTCCCGCTAAGTCCTTAACCCACCTGGATTGGCAGATCAGATGTCATTCCTCTATTAAATTGCTGCCTCTGAACACAAAATAACTCGTCAGGCTGAACACTCAGGAGTTTTCCAGATGGCTGGAGGAGGACGTGACACCAGGCACGTAGCGAGTTAGATACACAGGAATAAATGCAGAGATGGTGACTTTAGATTTTTGTGATAATTTGCCCATATTGTTTATGTTGCGCACCCTAAGTTAGGGGAAACATTTGTAACCAGACGTTTGCGTGCACCTCATAGAAAAGACATAACTCAAACTTTTACCGTTTAGTCAGTTTGAATCGATGAAATATTTTCAATTTGCTAAATTTCAGAATGAGAGAAATATTTGACTGAGAATTTTCATTACTTTCTTAAAATTCAGGAGTTTGTTCTGTTTTGGTGCGACCTGTACATTATCAAGCGATAATGTCCTGAAGTTACGGCAATAATTGGCAAACCTTTTGCTTTTTTTCGCCCCTTTTCATTTCACTTTGTGTTTAAAAATTTCCACACATTCTCCACTGATCCATTTCAAAGCCCTTAAAGTACCTTGAGTTGTGTCATTCTTACTGAGATTTGCACCGTTTCTCACTTGAAGCTTCTGACACCTTAACTCTCCTAGACTTCGACAGATCTTTCTCAGATCTTTCTGGCTGGCTTCTCTCTGCATCGACTTCCATCACTTTTACTTTAGCAAGTTGTTATTTCATTGAAAAGGAGATTGTTCACAAAATATTGTTTCTTTGAGATTATTCACCAGATTAATTGAAAATTTACTCAAGATATGATACAAATGTAAAAAAAAAACAAAGATAACTGCAAAAATGCAAAGCACATCATCTAGAGAGCAGCTTAGCATTTTAGCAGATGCTACTGTCCTGTTAGCCTAAATGCAACAGTTGAGAAAGTTCATGGAAGAGATGTTGCTGTTCCTGCAACAACACTGATCCAGATCCTGGACAGAAAATGGAGACAAAAGCCACAACGCAACAACAAAAAGCCAGATTGTCTTGATTGGCCCTAATCGGTGATATCCAGCTTATACTGGAGTCTGCTACTGCAAACAAACAACACCTTCAGAAGCTCACAGGAAGACTGAAGTCATTCTTGGCATGCTTAAAATGACTTCAGCCCTTCTCAGTGGGAAAATCTACTTTGGCATCACAGCAATAAGAAGCTGCTTGCATGTTTCCTCTCGTATTTTGGATTATCTGTCTTTGAGCCACCACTCCACTCTTCAGATTTGCCTCAGAGATGCTGGCTAGGCCTCCAAAATGTCAAAAATAACTTCCAGTTGGAAGAGCCGTGTTCCTGCATGGGGGTTGTGGGTAATTTAGGGCTTAACAAAAGCAGCTCGTTGATTACAATCTTTAGTTTTCATGTCGTCCTTTAATCACGGTCCGTCTTGTTCAGTCACTTTGTTGAAAGAGTTGCAGACAGAGGAGCTCTGTCGCTGCTGATGTTTCATGCCACACCACCTTGATTCCCATTGATCTCTTTCTTTGGCTCCTTTTGATTCCTGTTTGGATTTAAGGTGCCTGATGAAGCAACACAGCCCCCTAACGCACCTTACTCTTCTCCCAGTTCCCCAGAGGGAGTGGTGGCTTTATTCTTTCAAAGGCCTTTTCTTTTTTCCTTAGTTTTTTTTTTTTTTTTTTTTTTGCTGTGAAGCGAAGCCGATGTGAACTCACTTGGAATTTTAATTTAGTTTCTTCTCTGCAAAGCGTGGCGTATGGCTCACACATTGCGACACGTCAGAATACACACGGGAGACTCTGCCACAACCTCAGCCCGTCTCTGTCTCTGTCGGTTTCTCCTGATAGTACTTCCACGAAGCATTTTCACTCTTGTCGAAACTTTTTTCCTTCAACTACCTTTAGTGTTTGCTTTGTTTTCCTTGGACAGCTTCCCGGGTCGCCTGGACACTTAAGGAAACTAGAACAATTGGCATTTCCTGTGAAAATGCCAATTGCAAATGTTGTGAGCTGAATTTTTTTTTTTTTTTTTTGGTGAAAACTGCAGAAGCATTTTGAAGCATATATTTGCCTTTTCTGTTTGGAGGATCTCAATGCCCCAATATAGTCCATCAACGACAAACACGACAAGTTACAAATGGAAGTTATTTTGAACTTTGACTTCTGTCAAACTACTTTTCCCCCCCGATAAATTTATGGATTTGTAGGTTAAAGTAAAATCTTAGGATTTAAACAAATAAAAAAAATAAAAAAAGCTAAAGCACAAAGGCAGCTAAAATCCAAAACATCTTTAGCTGAGTTTTTTTGTTGTTGTTTTTAAGAAAACTACTTATTTTAACTACACTTTCACAGGAGGAACAATAAAGACATTGTTTCTCCACGTGTTTCGTTGGGATTAAAGCAAAATGGTTTTGCTTTAGCTGAGCCGAGTGAAGTTCCTGCTGAATAATTTTCTTGTTGAAAAAAAAAAAAGAAAAAAAGAAAAAACAAAACATGAGTTCGCTGTAGTTGTTTTCTGAGGCTTGGAGCGTCCAGCACCCCACTGCTTTCAGTAACGGCTCTCCGGGAGTCGCTGCAGAAACACAGTTCAGAACTTTCCATGCTGGGCTCTCTGAGGCCGTTCTCTGTAGAAACTGGATTGTTTTGTGTTTTAGTTAGAAAACTGAAGGGTTCTTACTAAAAGACAATCAATGTGACTGTTTTATTTCATACAGAATCCGCTTTATGCACTGTAAAAATACCAGTGTTAATTTAACTCCAACAGCTAGTGTATGTTCACACTAGTCATTTTAAAGCTGTGCGGTGTGAAAACAACACCAACACTTTGTATTTAACACTACACCTAAGATTTTATCACCGGCATTTTTACAGTGCACAAAAAGTTAATTTGACTATGGTTTCATGCATCTACAGAACTGGGTAGAACACAGTAAAGCAAATGTAAAATATTTGATTCAGCTCACACACGCGTTTCAAGGCTGTGTGCAGCAGGAACAGGAAGGTGCATAAGCACTTCATGTTCACTGATCGAAATCATAGAGGCATAAGTGTTTGTCGTCTGCAAAGGGAATTAACGTGCCAGTGCTTCAAATTCCCAACCCTCGCTGTATCTCACTGCATGTTGAAGGAGATGATTTTGTTTGCGCTCAGGTTAAACTAACCGAGCGCGAGAGCCGATTGTGCATAGGGTGTCCAAACCGTTTCAACGGTTTGAGCGAATCGACAAAAAGGTTGTTGTTTGGACAAAGATAAGTACGTCAGAAACATAGTTTTCAATCTGTGCTGTAGTTACAATGTAGTTTAGTTTCCTTTTGTATTAAACCAGGAATAGAAAATCGACCAAAACGAATAGATTTTTATTTTTTAAATTGGACATTCATTGATGTGGTTGAACAAAGCAGACAAGAAAACCTTGGAAAGGCTTTGAAAAACCACAGGACTCTTTCGTAATCGTGTATCTGTCTTTTCCTCATAACTCGTGTTTTTCTGATTGTTTCTGTTACTCTCTCTCTCTTGCTCCAGAAACATTGCCAAATTGCGAGTTTTGACAAAGAGACGACAACAGCGACTCCCGCTGTGAGGCTCAATCCAGAGTGTGGCCCCCGCATTTTCACAGAGCGCCGACTGAACCTCTCAACCCCGAGCCAAACTGTCGGTTTATCCTAAATTGATTTTAAGTCGAACGGTTCCCGCCATTTTTACAACTTCCAAATGAGACCGTTTCGCATCCCTCAGCTGGTTGGAATGGTTTGCTCTGCATACATTGTGTTTTCATAGGGAGAATAAGCTTAGAAAAAAGGAGGAAGAATGCGAAATATTAAAACAAATGTTTCAGGAAGGAGAGGAAGATTGCTTTTTGACAGATGGTCTCATTTGCATGACGCCTCGAGCAAATGGCTTTCAGACTGAGAGCTGCCGGCGCTCCTCTGCTGATGAGTGTTAACCGGCTTCTCTTTTTTTTTCCCTAGGGAACTATTTACTGGAACTGTCATGCAAATGTACGCTGATTTTTCTTTTTCTTCTTCTTCTTCTTCTTCCAGCCGCTACAGGTCAACTACAAGACGTGTCCCTTGGCCAGGACGAGCCGGCGCCTCAGGTGGAGGTATCGCCCGAGCTGGACCTGGAAGTGGTTCCGGAACCCACCGGAGACTGGCACAACGTGTTCCCCTGACTGCACTCGCAGAGTTTTGCAGCAAAAGTTTGCCGAACGTCTAAATGGGGAGAGAAAAAAAAAAAGAAAGCTTTCTGACTTTTTAAATAAGTTAGAAGGGAGGCTTCGTCCGCCGCCTTGCTGCTTTGTCACAATTAGCGGTGAAGTGAAGGGAGCGCGCGCCTCTCCCGCGCCGCAGGAAGGGCTTAGTGACTTTTATCTGTTTGGCTGCTCTCTGATTATCATCGGCCTCCGGAGAGGCGTGGCTCAATCAGCCAGAGCTTCCCAGAGAGAGCTGGGCGCTCAGCAGCCCCACAGAGAAACGGAGTCTGTCACATACCGATGTAACAGAGAGACGGGAGGCAAACCACATTCGCCGTCACGGCCGACCAGTTACCACCGGTTTATGAAATATTTGTCACTTTTGTTGACATGTTTATACTGTAAAGACCACGCCTGGAAGTGATGTCATTTTCAGCTCGCTCGACGAAGGAGGCCGATCTCTCGGCGATGTCATGATTGAGTTTGCTGCTGCGTCGTTTGGACCGACATCGGCAGCTCGTTTACTGTAGTTACAGCAGCGTTGTAAATACTGCAGCTAGAAGGCGTATATTTTCTGAAAAACACTGGGAAAAAACAGATTGTTTGCATAAATGTAATTTTAGCACATTATCAAGTAAAGCCAAGATGGTACTCCTTTGTTTTTGCTTTTTTGTTTGTTTCTTTTTTTTTTTTGTAGTTTTATTTTCTATTGGTGACTTAAAAAAAACTAATTAAAGAACATTTTCTATAAATTTAACTTGTTGTTTTTGCAGTAAAGGAAAGAAAAATATGGCAAGATTTCAGACAAGAACACAAGCCAGCTCCATAATGATTGTGCTGAGTCATTACAAACCGAAGTGAAACTCAGCCATTAGTTCAACCCAGCTCTGTATAAATGCAGCTGTTCAGTAAAGGTCCCAGAGCTGTGGCAAAGAACATTAGAGAACAAGCAGCAGCACGAAGACTGAGCGTAGCAGATAAGACAGGGAGAAAGTTTAAAGCAGGGTTGGGTCATAAAACAATAAAATTCATGTATCTAACATTGAGGCCTTAAAATGTTTTAATTTTAAGCAAGTTGCCCTTAAACAGGTTAGTCACAAGTCTCAAATTTCTGTTTAATCTCATATATTCCATGTATTTTTTTTTTTTGTATGTCCCATGACAATAATCACAGGGACTTCACTATTTAGGGTAATGAAGTTATCTTTGAAGCTGCCAGTAAATTCCTGCTAACACACCTTTGTTAGCTAGCCAGCTAGCTTTTTTGGATGAAGTTTGTACACTTCTGTGGCGATGTAGGTTTTTTATACCATTCATGATGGTCTTAAAAAGGTCTTAAATTTGAACATGCAGAAACTCTGTACCGGGACACGGGCGACCATTGTAACCTGCCGGCCGGGTAAGAAGAATCAAAGAATCAAAGCTGCTGCTCCAACTTTTTTAATAGGGTCAGATTTGTGATCCTTCTGGGTGAGTGGCATGAAGAAAACATTGCTGAAAAAAATCCTTAAGAAGTGTTGTTTTGTAGTTCTACACAAGCCATTTTGGGAACAGAGTAAAGAAGAAGGTGATCTGGACAGACGCCAAGCATAACATTTTGACCTACATTCGAAACCAGCGTTACTTATTGCCCTGAGCACACTGTCGGTCTGCCCTAACCACACTTGGCTCAAGAACCCCACCACCACCTCAAAGGCCTACAACAACATGCTAACTATCAGCTGCCTGATGCTAAAGTTAGTCTTAGCTCCCTTTGCTCATCTCCTGTTTAAAATAAAAACTACTTGAGATATTCATACCAAGACCAGGTAATTCTACACCAAAATAGAAATTATTTAGAACATACATTTGAAAATTCTGATTTACTTTCTAAAAACAAAGATTGTCGATGTTTTCTGGGGGCTCTTTCCATCCATCCATCCATCCATCCATCCATCCATCCATCCATTCATTCATTCATTCATTCATTCATTTTCTTACACCTTTGTCCCTTAGTGGGGTCTGGAAGGTTGCTGGTGCCTATCTCCAGCTAACGTTACGGACGAGACTCTGATGGCGCTTAACCACCTTAATAAAACACAAAATTCATCAATTATTTCTAATAATTTTGTAAACAAAACAAAAAAACATAAAGTGAGCAGATTTTGTACTTCATTTCTGATTACAAGGAGAACTTTTAGAGTCGAAATGTTGGGAAGTTTGCTCTGGCACTTTCAAAACTAAGGAAGCAGCCTCTGCCCCATCATCCATCGATCTGCCTGCTGTGCCTCCACATCAGTCCCTGTTGGACAAGGAAGCTGCAGAGAAAGAGAGAAGGGAAAGAGGTTTTCTCACAGCAAGCTCCAGGTCTCTGTGGACAAAGTCACTCTTCAAAACTGTAAGAACATCTCACTTTTCAGCAAGGCATTACAGT